AAAGGTAACTCCTATTTCTCATTTAAATTTTTTATTTAATTAAAAATAACAATTTCCAATTTCTGCATCTATTCTCCAGTTAAGCTTTTGAGATTTGATTCTCCAATGTAAGCTTATTCAAATACATAGTTTTCAAAACTCATTAACTATGGTTTAACAAATATTGATAGGTACTAACTGAGTATTGAAGTATTGCTCCAGATGTGTAGAAATTAAATGCATGATCTTAACAGGTCTTTCTATTGTATGAAACTTTTATCAACCCACTGAAATCATCTCCCTAATGAACAGTATTTATTTTACTTTCAAGACTAGACTGTTTAAAAAAAAATCAAGTTAAAAATGACAGAATTTACTTTTTATGGTAAATTTCCATGTAAGCTAGATAATACATTCATGAGGAGAAAACAGGAAACATTTCTTATGAAAGGGAAGGTTGATGAGGTGCAATGAAATTGATGAAGGTTCAATGTTCTGAAAAGAAATTTAACGAGCTAACCAGCATACTTATTTCACTTCCTCAATGAGTCATGCTSTGTGTGAACACCTGTTATATAAAGACTAATGTTTTTACATAACTGTGTTGCTTTGACAGAAAATGTGTTCTTGATGTGTTTGAAACACTAAAGCTGGATGAGTAAAAGATTTTATTGTTTCGGGAAACATTTAGGCCTKTGCAAGCACTTTTGAGACATATGATGCACATCTTTTTTTTTTTTTTTGGTGCCGCAAACCTTTAAAATGTCATCAATTTTACATTTTTATTGTTAAAATATTCAATTTAATTGTAAAAATGTATATTGTAGAAATAAAGTATTGATTTTGTTGTACTATCATTTTTTTTAAGTCAGCAAGGAACAAATTAAGTCGTTAACTCATTAGTATCAATGTGAGAACCCAGAGCTAAACTAAAGCTGAGAAATATATTAGTCATTATAGTTTTATCTAATTTTGAAGATATTTTTATGCCACAGACATATAAAACATTCTGAAGTTTTTCCAKTTCTGGATTGGTGTTTGTGTTCTGTCCAGAAACCTAAAATAGACCGACAATAATAAAACAATTGATACACTCTTTGAGTACAATTGATTCATTTTGACCTGCAATCTTTCCCTTTTGTTGACATGCAGTCTGTGTTAATGCACTTTTACTTGATAGTCTCTACCAGCGATTTTAAGCCAGTTRTTGCTCATTCACAGGCACCTAAAGGACAGCTTATGTGGCAAAGCTCACCTCGTCTTTCTGGTTCTTTCAGGTGGACACAGAGGGAGCCATCTTACTGTYTGACTAAGATTTATATGCTGATGTCCTCCTGAGCCAATTACGTTTGTGTCTGTTACGTTCATTTCTCCTGCGGCTTTTTTTTTAAAGATTTAGTTGTCAGAAAAATAAGGGCGACTGGATGTCTCGGTGAGATATGAACAATTACATTAGAACAGATTCTATCGGCTAAATTCACAATAACAGAATTCGTTTGAACTAAACATTGTGTGTGTCGGAGGGTGGGACAACTTAAAGAAATATTACAAAAGTAAGCAATAAAAAGTACCACAATTTACTCTCGAACAATGATGGGGATACTTACATACTTAAGTTTCTCTCTTCATATTGATTTTACTCCTAAAACCTGTTTGTTCAAGTTCTCAAGGTATTTCAAATTAAAACTGAAAAAAAGCCCAAAGCTAATAAGGTAGAAAAAGGTAATCAAACAAGCTAAAATACAATTAGAATGCTCCCATTTTTTCAGTCTAAAAAAGCGTCTGTAGGTGTCTCTTAAATAAATMAATTAAGTTCACAAAGCATGCATAAAAGGGCAAAGAGTTCCAGAGTGTCGGGGTGATGACTGCAAAGGCTCTGTCATATTTAATTTTAAKTTTAGGACAGCAATCTTTGATCAGACAACCTCAGGATCACGGTCCTGGTAAAAGTTTTGAAAATTATAAATTGCATCCCCATGAACAGTCTAAAAGCAGGGATACCATGTATTTCCAGGGCACATAGTTCAAGTCTATGCCACAATCAAGTAACTAAGTTACATTCACTTGTTRTGAAAATGCTGTTTATATCAAACATAAATTTGACTTTGCATCATASCAAAACAGCTTRAAATGGGCCTCTGTCTCTTTAAGAACCTCTTACCGGTTCCGAAACACCCACTTGAGTGATCTGTGGGGAGGGAGCTCGGCTGTGGACTGAGCTACAGGGAGGAGCTTTGGGATAAACAGGCAATAAACAGGCGGTGCTTTGTACCAGCAAGCATTTAGGCATCTCCACGTGGCTATAGGAGACTCAAGGATTTCTCAAAACATGTATGAATGAGCCAAAGCAAAAACTGGGTATGTTTTTGATAAGGGAATGACAACAATAAGCTCAAAAAAGTCTATTTTGCATTGTACCCTCAACCCCACTTTAAAAGTCCAGGCCAGATCCAACTGTGGAACAGGAAGCCAATGCAGCGAGATCAGCAAATGGGTCAGATGTGAGTACTTGGAGGACTTAATAAGCTTTTTAGACCACTGAAGATTTAYTGAGGCAGCTAAAAATGAAATTACAATAGGTTGCAAGGGATGAAGCATGAACGCCCATTTACTCCTCCTTTAGCTGGAGAATGTTATCAGACCACGAGAATTKTAAACACCTTTGCAAGACAAATCCTTTAGATACACTTTGAGATTTAAAAATAGCAAAAATATAATCAGCACAGCAATAAGAGATGCGATAAAAAGATTTAAGAGGAGTAAAACAAGCACAAATAGAAAAGGACTAAGTACAGAACCCTGTGGAACGCCATGCTTAAGAGTTGCTAAAAACAATTTAAAAAATTGAATTATTTTACATTCCAATATTAAAAAAGTTAATGTAGCTTGTTTGGTGTTTGCACGGGAAAAAAACCTGTCATATTGTCCATCTAAACATACGAATCTAGAGCCAGTCTAAATGGGGCTTGCATGAGTAACAATTGCAATGAAATGTCACGCCAAGGGTCTCATCACATCATCAGCAGCACCGTAATGACTGCATGATGAACTGTCAACATTGACTTTTTGACTGTCACATGGCCCAAASTGCTGTAAAAATGAAAGACAACCAGGCCATCAGAGGGTCGTAAACATACTAAACATCTGTTCAAGTGCAGCAGGAATCACTGTGAATCCTTTAGGGAGAGTCAGGGCAATCTGGGCCTGAAATTATGTAATCCCATGGAGTCTGAGGAGACTGCACCTTATTTAATATGACTTAGGCTGTAAAAGGTTTATGGCTGTTAGACGACTGAAAATGATGGTGGAGATAACCAGAAACATAAAAATATGTTGTGTGTGTGTGTTTGTGTGTCGCWGGGATGGGCTAAAAGGTCAATAAGTGGGAGGTGGACAGATGATCAGATCATCGGGTGTATATATTAYAGGGAGATCGGAGCAGTGGGTCAGTGACCGAGCTGCAGCCTGCAAAGGAGTCAGAATAAAAGAGCAGTTGAGAAACAACAGACGGTCAGGTCTCCAGCATGCGTGGTCTTGTGGTGTTGCCTCTGCTCCTGTGCACAGTGCTGTGTGTGGTGGACCAGGCGAGAGCAGATGGGAAGGCRGTGAAGTTATGCGGTCGAGAGTTCCTGAGGGCTGTTGTCTTCACCTGCGGAGGCTCTCGCTGGAGGAGGTTCTTCACCGAGCCAGACGTGGATGGTGAGGARAAACGTTAATGAGTTCTTGTTTTATTCAACTTGGTTTGTGGTTAATAGTTATGATGAGCAGAAGGTCAAATTTTGTTTGAAAAACTTTCTGTAAATTGATCAGTCAACCTCCAATTGTGATTGTCTCCATAAYCTATGGTGCGTGTTTACTCTCAGGACACAGGTTATTTAATACTTTAGTTTTCTGAAAAAAATCTTATTTTCAGGATATATGCAAGACCAAATTCTATTATTTTGCTTGAAATCCTTTTTTTTTTAAATTATTTTTAATACTGTTTGATGCTATAAAATCTGTTAAGGACACCTGGATTAATTTGAGAACCTCTCTACTTTGAGGGAGCGTTATGTGGCAGTTCAGGAAGGACATTCGGCGTAAAACAGTTGCCAAATCTCTCAGAGCTTGCTCGTGGTGACCACCTCTGCAAGAGTCATGACTTTGTTTGAATATTAAATTATGGGTTTATTTTTAAAGCACGTTGATTGTTTTAAATKTACCCTATAAATTAAGTTAATTTGGTCGTTCTTAAAGTATTCTTTTGGTCGTTCAAAATTGTAATCGTATTAAATGTGTTTCTGCTGGACAGTGGGCGTGCAGAGAGATGAGTGTCGCCTCATGACATGTTCAGTTGTAACAAGCGGTTAAATGTCTCTTAAAATGCTGGGGGCGGCTGTTCCCGGGGAAGTCCCTCTCCTACCGACTGTTAGACAAATTCAGTTAGCGTGCTGGTCGTGATGATCAGAGGAAGGAAACTGTCACCGCAGAAGACAAATTGGACAGGGTTCATCAGTGCACTTCAGTTTTCCCCTTTTAATGGAGGRCATGTACAGTAAAGTATGCTGATCTAAATAAAAAACTAAAAGTCTTTGGAACAAATGGGTAACAAAAAGACTTAGTACCAACAAACCCATACAACACATATTTGCAGCAGAAACGTGTTATCTAGATTACAATTAAAAAAAAGACAAAATTCATAAAAGTTTTCTGTTTGTTGATTCAGGTCTGAATGCAGGGGAGCAGAACAGCCTGGAGAACCTTAGTAGTCCTGGATCTGAGTGGACCAAACGAGACCTTAATAACGTGGTAACCAACATGTGCTGCCAGGTGGGCTGCAGGAAAAGTGACATCAGCTACCTCTGCTGAGGACCCTTTAAAAGGACAAAAATAAAAAACAAAACTGAATCACATGCTGACAAATGATCCATGTGCAACTTGTGAGATTTGTTGATGTGACTGTGACATTTCTGTGTGAACCTGAGCAGGAGAATATGTGTAACGAGAAATATATATTTAAATAGAGATTAGAAAATGCGGGATTTGTTGATCATACTCTGTGTGTAAAAAAAAAAAATACTAAACCAGGATTGTGTTGTTGTGACCTCATCTTTAAAATAAATTSACAAAATGTCAGCTTGGGTTTTGTTGTCTCTTTAAAAACCTTGAGTTGTATTTAATCCTTTACAATTGTCTAATAAACGTTCTTGCACAAATCTTGCATGTTTTGTGGGATGTTTTAGAAACTGCAGTCATTTTTATGATCATTGCTACGATTACAAAAAAATAAAAAATAGTTTAAATCCATGGATTATTCTGACTGGGTTGAGGAATGTCTCCAAAAATATGAAATTAAAAAWAATAATAAAAACATTTGAATCAGACATTCAATGCTGGTACTGCACATTTTTCAGCATAATTGGTAACATTTTATTATATCTACACCTTATTTAACCATTATTAATAAATGCTTAATTAACTTGAAAGTATCATTAAGGTTGATTTGTACCTAATGACTATAATACATTTATTAATGCTTTACCCATAAATGCTAACATTATCTATGCTTAATAACTAATGAATTATTGTGTGTATAAGTATATAAATGCTCATATAGATGTACTTTCACACCATGTGTTAGACATCAAGTTATTAAGAGTTATTAATTATGAATGAGTGAGTTGGTTTTCGAAGTAATTAGCCTTTATAGATAAAGCATTAATAAATGTGTTAAATTATAGCTTAAGTATGAATCATCTTTAATGTTTTCAAGGTTAACCATTTATTATTGATTAAGTAAGGCTAAATAAGATGTAGTTATTATAAAGTGCTACCACMTAATTTAATACTCTATGATCCAACAAACATAAAACAGGAAGAACAAGTGTCCAGTTAGAACTTTTATTGGATTTGGAAAGAAGCAAACTAAGTTCCTCAGTTCATTTTAGCATTGTTATGTTCTGTACAAACAGCTTGCACATGTTTGAGGTTAACGGTACAGAATCAATTCTGGCTTCTAGCACACACGAGCACACTCCCTCCCTCTTCTCGCAACATTAATACAAGGTAAGTGACACTCAGCACAACATGTCATTTCAGTACTACCTATCATTAAAGATGCACCACCTTTTTACTGCATGCTCTGCATGCAATACTGAGTYACTGCAGGATAAATTCACCACAGAGATGAAGAGCAGAAAAACACAAAAGTTTTGCTCAAAGTTTATTTTTTTCCCCAAAGATGCATATAATATTCTAGCAACTAAAAGACAGAGCTTTGTGTTGCCTCTGAAGCTGAAATAAGTAAAACTTACTGTAATTTAAAAAACACACACAGATAAGTGTTAATGTGATTGGTGGGCCTTGGTAGATAATGCTGTAATGACTGTTGCACTGAAAGCTTCACAATTCATACAAAAAGTAACAACTTCCTGTCAGGCATGTTGTCATCCAGTCAGCGTGGCAAAACTATTACCGAACAAAAGGAAAAACCGGAGCTAAATGGCACCAATCATTTGTCAGCACCTCACTTTGAGACTGAACATCAAACTGAGTAAAAACCTCAGAATTTCAATTTGAACTGAAATCACAGCAGAAATAGATTTGTTTCAAAGTAATACAACATCTGAATAGGAATGATAATGTGATAATGTGAGAATACATAGTGTGGTATGAGAAGGCCAAAATTAAGACTATTGTGCAACCAGCGGTAGTTACATCCTGGTAGCAGGAGGCTATACCCATTCCTAAGCCAGCTATTGATCTGATTAATGATAGGCTGGCACCGCTAACTGAGAGGCTGGCGAWGGCAAAAGAGAAGGAGAATATTCAATCGTGTTAGCATCGGAGAGGCTAGCAACTATTGATTGATGGATTGATTTTATTTAGCAACAATATTGCATGTACATACACACCTAGTACATCCATTATTAGTACTTGGATAACACAAGAAAGTGAGAATCACTCATTTCCATTGTGGTCCAAGCATGGATAGAACAAACTGGCATGGACAAGCTGGCAACATTTGCATCGGAGAGGCTAGAGACTAGCATACCTTGGCTGCTCACCTACTTTAGACACAAACTTTTTTTTCAATAAAGAATAATTTGTCTATAAACTAAACTTTTTCTAAAAAGCCCCAAAGTTCTGGCTTTTCTGATAATTCGGCTAAAGACAAAAAAACATCACRGTCGACCAAGTGACAAGGGCAAACACATCTGCTAATTCAGGTGGTAACTAAAAATGTCTGCTTATATGTTTTATGTTTAATATTTATGCATGACAACATGAACAGTAAATTCTGTCTAAGGAATTCCTGTCATGCTAAAAGGATATAGCAATCGCTGGTTGCACACTAGTCTTAATTTTGGCCCTCATTCCGTACAAGAATAACTGATCTTTTCCCTTAAATTCATWTAGATGAATGTGATTGGTTCCATTTAGCAGACAAACAGCACAGTAGACAGTTTCAGCTACACGTCACACACACTTTGTTCTTCATGTTGGATTTCAGAGCATTCAGGAAGTTGAACATCAGCACAGTGTTTTTTTTTTCACATTGAACAATATAATAGTTTTGTTATTTTTAAGCATTTAAAAAATATTAATCCTATTTTTCTTAACAGAGCAACTGACCGTCTGGGATACACACATAAAATACAGGGGAAACAAAAGAAGAAAAAAGCATTTTGGTCACTTACCCTTGGTTCACATCCTCATTGAAATCAAGTCATCTCACAGAGACCATTACATTTATACATTTATGAAAAATAAAGCCATGGATTCAAGCGCTGGTGGGAGGAYTGGGGTGTGCAGGTCATATATTCTGGGAGTTTGGGTGAAGAAAYAGAAGAAAAGCCTAACTGGTGAACTCTGGTCAAAATTAAGAAGTMACAAAGGTAAAAAAATCTACCTTCACTTCCTCCAGGCTTCGAGGTCAAAATAAACAAACCAGCTGGTCCCAGTAAACAAACCCTGTTCAGGTAGTACTGTAGTCAGCAAATTCTATCAATGATGCTGATAAAAACAGACTGATTTTGTTCTCATTGTCTTATTAAAAAACTTGACATTCTGAAAAATATGCATTAACTTTCTTGTAAACAATCAGTCCTWTATCTGTTAAACATAAAGACTGCAATCAGGAGGAAAAACACATTTAGACAGAATATTTGTAAAATATTTCATGTCAATCCAAAATATTCATAATAACATTATTATTATTATTATTATTATTATTATTGTTGTTATTATTATTATTGATCATCATCATCGCAGCAGATTATAGTAATCCAACTAATGAAATATATCTTATACTTTATTCTCTTAATTGTATGATTTAGTAGAGCTAAAAACAGAATTGAAAATGCTTATACACTCCTAAGATGTATACAGAAGTGGCTCGAAATTAAATGAATTATTATTGTTGTTATTATTATTATTGATCATCATCATCGCAGCAGATTATAGTAATCCAACTAATGAAATATTTCTTACACTTTATTCTCTTAATTGTATGATTTAGTAGAGCTAAAAACAGAATTGAAAATGCTTATACTAAACTCCTAAGATGTATACAGAAGTGGCTCGAAATTAAATGAATAATTAATGAATTTAGAAATAAGTTTGTTTAAAAAACCCAAAGGCAAATATTGAAAACAATGGTACTTGCGTTAGAGGGATTTATATGTGGAATATGTATTGTGGAGAGTTAACTGTTTTTTCACTCTTTAAATAATAGAAATATATAGTATAAAAAAACATTTGCTACACAAATACAGCAAGGTTTGATTATGATTGTTGATGATTATGAGTTTGTTACAAATTCAAAATTGTTTTGGAAATAGAAAAATATATAGGAAAGCTGCTGCTGTTTTGATTTTGATAATTCTGTACGTGTAAAAAAAGTGAAAATAGGAAAAGCTTATGCTTCTACCTACCTACACTTTTGAGCTATCCCTTCTGTTCTTGCCATCAACAAGAACTCAAAGATAGTTTATTATTTTTTCCTGTATTAATTAGTTTTGTTTTCAGCACTGTGTGTGTTTTCGACTTGTTAATGGAAAGGTTAAAAATGACTGAAATAAAAACTCGGGAAAAAGAAAAGGAAAAAAACCTATTATGAAGATTTAAAGTGCATGGTATATTTTCACAAATCACAACTTGATTTTTATATAATCAGACATTTTGTTCGAATCTGGAGGTTTTAGAGGTGCTGGTGCTAAGATATGTAATAATAAAATGTGAATTCAGTCTTTATGCAGATGTTAAAACAGATTGTTCATTTAGAGCATCTTTAGCATTTTTTTTTTGGTGGTATTTTCATAAAGAGTTGCTGAGAGCTGGAGGGTCCAAATCAAACCAGTGTAAAACCAGAGGTGTGTAAAATACTTGAGAAAAATCAAAAATGAAAATGATTTTGGTTAAAATAAATTTCACTGATAATGATTTAGTATTGTCAGGGCACATAGTTACTTGATTTTGGTAAAGATTTGAACTAAGTTACCTTCAGCTGTTATGAAAAAGCTGTATATAACAAAAATAMATTTGACTTTGTAACACAGTCTTTATAAATGAATTTTGCCTCTGTCTCCTTAAGATCCTCCTACTGTTTCTGACACTCCCACTTCAGTATGTTTTCAAACAATGATTCGGGGGAGGGGTGCTCTGTGGGGGAGGAGCTCCGCTGCAGACTGAGCTCTAGGGAGGAGGTTTGTGTAAATGGGCGGTGCTTTGTACCAGCAAGTGTTTAGGTAGCTCCACAGGGCTACCACAGGAGATTCAAGGATTTCTCAAACGCGCATGAATGAGTCGAATCAAAACTGGGTATGTTTTTGATGAGGGAATGACATCATAATATGATATGAAGCTCAAAAAGTCCATTTTGCATAATACCCACCCCCTTAAATTTGTAGTGTGCAAATGTTACATTTTAAAAAAGTAAAAGTATCATTTTTATTTTTGAATGTAAAAAAAATAAAAGTAAAAGTCACTATTTTAAAAAGCATTTGGTAAAATTACAGATCCTCAAATAAATTACTTCAGTACTGTAACAAAGTAAAGTATTTGTTACTTTACATCTTTGCGTAAAACTGATTCAGGTGCTGCTCATGTTCAGAAAATCCTCAACAAATACAACCATGGTCAGATTTAAAACAATAGAATCTGTCTGCAACAAGACAAAMACCTTGAGAGAAATATGCTCAACTACTTAAACACAAACAGGATGAACTGGGACTAGCTGGTTAGCTTGAACTTTCAAAGTAAAACAGGGACATAATTTGCTCTCTTAAAATGCGAACTTCATCTAACTCGACAGTAACACTGCTTTCACGAAGCATAACACAGCATACCAGGAAGATATTTACCATTGTCTTTAAATTACCCCCCCTCCCGCCCCACCGCCCATATATAGCTCAAATCTTCTGTTGCACTTGAGTTAAAAAATTATATCTGAAATAAATTCAAAAATTATACCTTATACTGTACACAGGTTACCCAACTACACAGATAACAAAARAGAGAGAGAGAGTTCAAATATACACTTAAGGGTTCTGAGTTGTTGTGATACCATTCAAATTCTATTCATATACAGAATCACRTGTTTTTATACAACGAGTCATTGTCATCAATAAATAAAAATAGAATGCTGTCATGTACTCTGGTGTCTAACACTGCTGTCCTGGGAACAACAGAAAGGCTATTCAACAATACAAGGAAAACACTGAACGCCCTTTAAAGATACATAGCACTGCCTTAAAATGACATTTTGTACACTTCCTTTGTTCTGAAGAGAAAAACTTGTATTTTTTTGTTAATATTCATTTTATTTTGTAACCAGTGAACTGACTTATCATTGCAGCTGCCTAACAGGTTAAACACTTTTGTCCTGTGTAATAAAAATAAATAAAAGTGGCCAATTTGTGCATTTTTTAAATTAAAAATAAGGCTAATCAAAGTCATAYGACCCTGTAGTACCAGTGAACAATGTTTGGAAAACTATTTTTTTTTTTGTGACTAATTGATTCTGTTTAGTCWAAAAGCGCCAAATAAAACCTTATACCAGGTAAGGCCATCACAGGCTTGGAACTAAACATCCAGCCCTGATTCAACTCCACTTTTTCTAACATCTCATCTCAAAGGTTGAGATGTACAACATTAAAATCTGCCCAGTACTCCCACGTCTCCTGTCTTCTGTTAGGCAGCTGTAGTGAAAGCTTTTAAAAACACCACCAACACTTCGACCAGAGGAGGTTAAAGACAGGCACGGACTGTCGAACAAGGAAGAACCCAGGCGTCTAACTGCAGCAACACATATGTTATGAGATGAGATACAAATACTATAATTACATGACCCGAAACAGCTCCACAATGTTATATGCAAGTTATACAATACTGCTGGGCAGGACCTGTCRTGTTGGTTCGTGAAAGTTTGAAGGAGAGTCTGGCGCGGGTCTGTCCTCTGGTCCTGACAGTCGTTTTGATCRGTGGAATGGGTCAGTTGTCAGCCAAGTATTTTCCTAAAGAAACAGAAAAGTTTATTTTGAAATTTAGATGCATTACGCTTCCCCAGCTGTCATGTTTTTATGTGCAAAGACAATGGGGATCTCCACTCAGACTATTTTTAGAACACTAGTCGCGCGACTACGTCCACTTGACACCGGTGAGCGTACAAACTAAACCAGTGGACTTCATTGATTTCAATCACAGAGTGCTGGTTTAGTTGTGTTTAAACCTAAAGAAAATTGAGAAACCAGCACCAAACTCCATCAGGAAGAACACAAAATGTAGTGCTACGRCTTGTTTATACTTCGATTCTTCCCCCTGCTGAGTGACAAAAAATTGCGCAATTCCGCCTGCTCTCTCACTGCTATCCCCCGGTGACAGCAGTCGTGTATRTTGCCCCCAGTCAGAACTCTGCGACRCGGACCYTGCGGCTCGGAGCGTGTGATTGGTCAAAACTTCATGGGTGTTTGTTCCTGAGGAGCAAGCAGCGGTCCAGCCCGCAGAGCGGTGAGGAGCTGGACTTGACCAGCTTTGCCTTCTGCATGTTATTTTGTTTAAAATGATTTTTTGTCTGAAGCCAGTTGTTAAAAGAGCTAGAAGAGCAGCTGGTTTGATCCTATTGAACATGAGCACAAAGCTGATATTCATGTCCTTTTTCCATCACCACCGTTAACATAAAAAAATTGTTTTTTCCTCTGCAGACACTTCATCCAACAAAACACTGATCACTGAGTGATAAAAAAGCACAATATCCAGCCATCATTATTGTTGTTTATGTACTCATATGAACTGAGGGCAGAGGGAGGATCTATGATAATTTATGCCCCGCTGCGTCCTTAACCCATTTATACTTGTTCAGGAAAAAGACGTCCAAAATGACGCAATCACCAACCCGCTGTCTCACGTCTCAGTGAAGTATAACCCAAACTTAAGTTGGCGTTRGCATTGGAGAGGCTAGTGACTAGCATGCCTAGGCTGCTCACCTACATTATTAGACAAACTGATTTAAATAAACAAAACTTTCTCAACAAAAATGGTTGACATATAAAACCTATAAGTGACACACAACGACAGGTGTTCCTTAGACTGAATTTACTGTTCAACATGACATCAAGCAAAAATAAATAACCAAATAAATAAATAAATAATAAACAGCAAACATAAAACATATTACTGTGAAGCAGACAGCTTTAGTTACCACCTGAATTAGCAGCTGAGTTTGCCCTTGTCTGTTGGTCGACGGTGGTGTTTTTTTTTTCTCTCATTTGCCAAATTATGAGAAAAGTCAGAACTATCAAGTYKGGGCTTTTTACAGTTTTTGACAGTATTAAATTAGGCTTCRCTACATTTAATTTTGATTTAAAATGTCATATACATTTATTTCTTATGCTGCTCAGTTATCAGTGCCGGCCTATCATTAATCAGATCAATAGCTGGCTTAGGGATAGATATAGCCTCCTGCTACAAGGATATAGCAACCACTGGTTGCSCAAACGTCTTAATTTTGGCCCTCATRCCACACCATACGTCATCCATGCTAGCCTCATACAACATTCCTCGACCCTTTAGATAACCTTCAGYTGAATTTTTCTGTGATTCCYGAAGTCAGATGTACTGAAATTCGCTCTAGGAACKTCTTTTTCTGTTACGATACAATGAATCTCCGTATAATCCAGTCGATTGTCCAATCATTTGATAGAGCGACAGACAATGTAACAACATGAGTGACACCGGGAGTGGAGATCRCCATTAGTGGTTTTAAATTTGATAAAACTTTGTTTTCTCTCAGTTTTATACAAAAAAATGGCTTGGTGAATTTTAAACTCACCTGCAGCAAACCTCTTCTTAACAAGAGAGAAGCGGTATCCTGGTCCAGCCAGTTCAATGTCACAGCCCGACAGGTTGCTGCCCTCACTGGTGAACTGCACCGCCAGTGGAGCCGSTTTACTGGGACCCTCCGTTAGCTGGAAGCGTGCTAACAAGGACCCCACACCTGGTTGAAGAGCGAGAACGTACTCTTAGAGAAAATTAAGCAGAAACTGGCGTCAAAGAAATAGGCAGCAGGTGGGGGATAAATGCAGATGCAACTTTAGTTTAACAAAAATGTTTTTGTAAGATAACTTGCTGTTGCATTTGTCCCTGTTCAATGTCAAAATATTGATTCTGGTTAAAGCACTGAACTGAGCAGACAGTCCGTTCTCCCTGAAACTCCTATTAAGTGTCTTTATCCCAGACATCAGGTGAGCCTGAGGATGTTTTTTTCTACTTTGTGAATGTGAAACAGACCCCAAATTTAGTTTGTCTGAGGCACAAATCAAGRTACCTTTTGAAAACCTACATAAATATACCCACAGCTCATGTTAGAAAAAACAACTAATTATATACAATTTATATTCTGGCTGACAAACCCCCACAAAACAGATAAAATGCAGTATTGTATAAAGTACTTCAAAGTGATACTTGAATAAAAGTACAAGTATCTTATCATAAAAATACTTTGGTAAAAGTTAAAGTCTTCTCTACAAAATTACTTGAGTAAAAGTCTTAAAGGATCTGATATTTTTTGTACTTAAGTATCAAAAGTAAATTTCTGACACAAAATCTACTTAAGTATTAAAAGTAAAAGTACTGAGTAAAAGTGAGCAGTTAGATTTTCCAAAATGACTTTTACTGGGAGGTGACTTCTCCAAAAAATATATTTTCTAATGCTGTGCAGCTGTGATGGGTTGTGTACAAGCTAATAGGGTGTCAGAGTGCTATTAATTTATACTTCTCATCCAACCACAATTAAATTCACTCTATCCAGGAGACGCAATTTATCAGGATAGTATTTTTAAGTAATAACAACTACTAATAAAATAGGAGTAACAACTTTCTACTTCTTACCTTTTTTTAAAAAAATGTAGTGAGTAGAAAGTACAGATAATTGTGTAAAAATGTACTAAGTAAAAGTAAAAAGTATGCTGAAAAATAATTACTCAAGTAAAGTACAGATACCCCAAAATTCTACTTAAGTACAGTAACAAAGTATTTGTACTTAGTTACATTACAACTCTGATAAAATGTTACTTTAATCATCAAAAGATTTTTGGAAGCCAGTGTAGATCTGCTGTCAGACACAAGAGGGCGATGATAACCAATCAGGAAGCCGTTCCCTTCGAGTTATCTGAACTTTTCCACTTTGTCCTGTTTTACTGCCTCCATAAGCTCCAGTGATAAATCTAGTTCATCGCTGTCAAGGAATAATTCTAGCTGCTTCTGCCTGTATTCTGCATCACTTTATGTAGATTTCTGCGTGGCTGGTTTCTAAACGTGGATATAGAGTTAATTACAGCATGAGAAATACTGCCTGGTCAAAATAAAAGTGTCCACCCAGATTTGACTAAGTGCTACGATGTGGGGTTRMTGCAGGTGGTCAGGTCCAGGTTCAGCAACAGTTTGTGCTCAAAGAATGAGGTCAGCTGACCTRAATAWACTGAATGASCAGGTTATKCCATCAGTGGATTGTTTCTTCCCTGATGGCATGACCATATTCCAAGATGACACTGCCWGGATTCATGGGGCTCTTATTGTGAAAGAGTGGTTYAAGAAGCATGAAACATTATTTTCACACATAGATTGGATCCACAGAGTCCACTGAGAATCTTTGGGATGTGCTGGAGAAGGTCAGACTCTACGGTCATCAATGAAAGATCTTGGTGAAAAATTAATGCAACACTGGATGGAAATAAATCTTGTGACATTGCAGAAACTTAATGAAACAATGCCACAGAGAATGTGTGCCGTAATCACAGCTAAAGGCAAACTAACGAAATATTAGAGTGTGACCTTTTTTTATTTGATGGCAACTTTTTTTTTTTTTGGCCAGGCAGTGCAGTTCGAGTGTAGTTAGAAAAGCCTAAAACTGTGCTTCTGATTAAACAAACTCCTTCACATTTCTTCATTATCTAGTAGCTTTACCTCCGTTTTCAGATTTCTGGGAGATATCAGGGATCTTCCAAAGGATTTTTTGCTGCTCTGCATTCCTGCCAGAGTTTTAAAGAAAGATGCATAAAATTAGCAAGGAATACATGAAGAACAGTTTATCAAATGCATTGATTCAGTTTCAAATTTAGTTTGGAATTTAAGTAAATATATTTTCCCAGGTGCAGGAAAATGCCCTGCTTCTTTCTGTAGACAGCGACATGCATAAAGTGTGGACGTACCATGCAGCAGGAGGTAAGACAGCCTGTAGTTTTGAAACACCTCCATCTACAGGGACGAGGAACTGGACGTTGTTGAGGGCCATCGGCGTCGACATGGCCTCCCCGTTGTATTTGTAGTCTATCCTCAGATCAGTGCTGGTGGGCTCGCACCTCCAGCTCACCGCCAGGTTCAGTGGAGTCGACTGGAGGCCCTGCGTCGATACCTGACCGCATAATTTAGTATTCGATTCAGACATGGYCTCATTCAAATCCTCCCAAAACACRTTCAGGAATTTAACTTTARAGTAAAACGTTTGAACCAACCTGGTACTTGAGCATGTCCACGTTGTAGTATGTCGCTTGTGGCTTCTGCTCTGCCACCTTCTTTAGATGGGATATCAGGTTTGGCATGTTCACCCAGAAGTCCTTGGARTCAGCCTTGGCCTCAGTGTTGGTGTCGCTACGTGGTGGAGGAAGACGGTAAAATAATTTTTTTTGTTTAGCTTCAAACTAAAAGCTAAAATCCTTTAATACATTASTGCTTGGCTTTGTGACAGACTTTAAACAAATAAAAGCTAGTTTAAATGTTTCACAATAATTGTGATCCATCATATCGAAAGGAGGATTCAGTCAAATTTGGACAAAATGACCTAACTACTTTTTCAGTTTCCTGGCTTTAAAAGCTACATTTTGATACCTGGATCCTCCTGATATCATCAGCTTATCCAGAGATATGATTTAATTTGTCTTGTTGGTTAAGATAATTTATTACTGTTTGGTCTGAATCCTATATGAACACTAAATACCAAATATTTGTATATTAAGATTTCCCAGTTGGAAAGAAACAAAAACATTGCTAACTCACCGGGAAAATTTCAAAAAATTAAGGTATTTTTCCTGAAAATCAAGTTTTTTGTAACTACTGCTGAAAAAATGCTTTAAATATGTTTTGTTAGGATTATATTTCACACAGTTCATTCAAATGATACACTGATAAGTCACTTATTCATTATATTTTGACAAAATGCAGTTTCTGCACACGTTCAAATCAAAACYCTSTTTCTGCCCATTTCTCCACATTCCACTTTTGGACTTAATCCTCGTTTCGATGTGATGGGTCACAGTTATGTTAATTGCAGAAAGTGATTCATGTCAAAATAAACTCTGCTTCACTTCAGCATCATCATCCAGTTAACCAGCTGGCCTGTATCTCCCCAGAAGGGAACTGATAGAAAAAAAAWTCTCCACTGTGTTTATCTTTTGAGTGAATTTCTCAGTCTCGGTTTTTTAAATTTGACAGATTGTTATAAAAGCTTTATCCTCCTGATGACTCATAAGCTTTAATTTATCTGAAAAGTCAGATGACTTGATGATGACTCAGTGATCTCACTAAAGCGTGCTCATCTTCAGGGGTTGCCGTTTTAACCCTTTAGGATCTGATGTATTAGATGAAAGCACCGGAACACATTATGATGGATTATGGATTTAACAATCATAAAGAATAATGAGACAGCAAATACAAAAATATATATTTTAAAAAAATAACTCATTTTTTACTCCTTATTCAACACATTTTTTATTTATTTTTTAGTTTTAAAATCTCATTTTGATTTCAATTTATTTGCTTCCTTTTGATTTGCAAAATGTATCTATTTCCATGTATTTAACCCACTGAGTTGTGCTTAACTTGCTCACATTTTGCAAATAATGTGCTGAACATGTTGGATGAACGCAAATATTTGAATGCTGTAACGTTTTAACAATACAACAAAAAAAAAATCACCGCTCACTAAAAAAAAAAAATCTAAAAAATCCATATCCTTAAAACAAAAATTGTAAAAGTTTACTGTAATGTTTTAACAATACAACAAATAAAAAAAAACCCCAGCTCACTAAAAAAAAAAATCTAAAAAATCCATATCCTTAAAACAAAAATTGTAAAAGTTTATTTCATTGTTTCATTATTATGGTTAAGACAGATTAAATCCACACATTTGATTTGGTTTTAAAGAGATTTAGTGAAATTACTGCATTCTTGTTAAACATTCCAGGTAAATTTGGGTAAATTTGGGGTTAGATTCTACGTGTTTGTGATTTAAGCTACTCACACGTGTGACAGCTGTAAAACTTTGAACGTAAACACAGGGAGCTTAGGTCAGTCGCCTGTCTTTGCTGAAGTACTGGGTGGTGAGTAAACTGTGAAGACATTACCAGCAGAGCAGCTGGGGGTTAGGCAGCACGTGCTCCAGTCGGCTGTAGTTGGTTATGCTGAAAGTTAGCACGGCGGGGGATGGGTTATTGGCAAAGTGCCGCGTGATTCCCGCCGGAAACGATAAAACCATCTCACCAATGACTTTAACAACACACCTGAGAGGAAGAGGAAGGGGGGAAGAGGATGGACAAAATCARCTTAAACTCTTCCTTTCTCTTTTAAAAATTCAGAAATCTGGGATGGTGATTTTTTTTTTGTTTCCTTATACTGCCTGGAAACCGGCCAACAAATGATGAATCAAAGATGATTGCATTTTTATTATTAAAGTGTTAGCATGATGAGAAACATGCWTATTCAATATCTTAAACACATCACTTTACTCATCTGAACTGAGATTAGAGAAAAGCAAATCCTAGTAGAAAACCATCAGAAACTAAAACAAAACTCATGTATTTTGTAACCCTGATGGTGMCTTAAAGGAGACACATCATGCTTTTAGTTGGGGTCYATATAAAAGGTGGAACTGCRGTGCTTTGATCCAAATTCCTCACTATTGTAACTCCACAAGCCCCGCCCCTTTTCTGAGGTMRTTTTGAGGCTCTCTTTTTAAATCCAAAAGAGGCGCTTCACACTACGCCCCCTCAAGCGAGTGGTCCATTCCAGCTTGATAGAGGGGTTCACGACTATTTAGCAGCACAGAAACTTTATTTACAAATTAATTAAAACAARTCAACAAAGGAATTCTTGTTCATCCAGCCTAACATGTCGGAGCCARTCTGACCTAGTCATTATTTGGTAGTTCTGTTGCAAATAATTTTATGTGAATGCATGAGGAGTTCAGAAAACGTCATAGAAAATAGAGAAAATGGAACAGGTTGAAAAAAAAAAGACCCAAACAGAATATAAATATATCTATGCAGCACCAGGAGAGACTAAAGTTTTATTTTCTGCACTTCTAGAGACTCCAAGTTCACAACAAAATGCATTTAAAGGGATCCCCGATTAGTTGTAACATTAGACTTTATATGAAACATATACTTTAACTGTAAAATAAAGACTGTAAAAATACTGTAGGATGTTCAGGTTTTATCATTTTTAAACTAAAAGTTTAAAAATATATTACACAGATGGGGCAATTGTATTTACACGCAAAGCATTCTGGGTAAATGATGACATCAACTAGGTCATTGACATGAGGCTGTTAGTGAGCTATATCCACCCTGAAGGTTAATCTTGGACAATATCTGA